GTTGTGTGCATTCCCCGTCACAATACTTTAGAGATTCATTTCCAGGTAAACATGCTTTGGTTGGCCGCAAACCTGCAGCCAACAGGGGTTGTCACAGCTGTGCCAGATAATAGCCAGAACAAACTCCTGTCTCGCTCAGGAATGTTTACTGTCACCACGGACATTTTTGCATCTTTTATTTGGAAAGAAAGAGATCCAGTTATCAGTTTCACACAGATGAATCATAAGCTTAACCTGTTGGCCCTTTTTTACTTCAGCAGATAAATGAAGGGGTAAAAGTGCAAATGCCAAAAAAAAAAAAAAAAGAGAGAAGAAGAAATTAGAACAAACACACTTTTGTTTAAAGACCTCTTTTGTGGTTTAACAGCTTTGAAAGAGGAGCTCCAAGTAACACATTCCTGCAAACAGCAGCAGGGAATTAACTGAAATCCTGCTATCTCTCTCTCTCTCTCTCTCTCTATCAATCCATTCATCCATCTATCCATCCACTCACCATCCATCCACCCACCCACCCACCCTCCATCCATCCATCCATCCATCTATCTATCTATCCATCCATCCATCCATCCATCCATCCACCCACCCACCATCCATCCATCCATCCACCATCCACCATCCATCCATCCATCCACCCACCATCCATCCAGCCATCCATCCACCCACCATCCATCCATCCACCCACCCATCCATCCACCCACCCACCCACCCATCCATCCATCCATCCATCCATCTATCTATCTATCCATCCATCCATCCATCCATCCATCCACCCACCCACCATCCATCCATCCATCCACCATCCCACCATCCATCCATCCATCCACCCACCATCCATCCAGCCATCCATCCACCACCCACCCACCATATCTATCTATCTATCTATCTATCTATCTATCTATCTATCTATCTATCTATCTATCTATCTATCTATCTATCTATCTATCTATCTATCTATCTATCCATCCATCCATCCATCCATCTATTTATCTATCTATCCATCCATCCATCCATCCACCACCATCCATCCATCCATCCATCCATCCATCCATCCATCCACCCATCCATCCACCCACCCACCACCCACCATATCTATCTATCTATCTATCTATCTATCTATCTATCTATCTATCTATCTATCTATCTATCTATCTATCTATCTATCTATCTATCTATCCATCCATCCATCCATCCATCCATCCATCCATCCACCATCCTCCCATCCATCCATCCATCCATCCATCCATCCATCCATCTATCTATCTATCTATCTATCTATCTATCTATCTATCTATCTATCTATCTATCTATCTATCTATCTATCTATCTATCTATCTATCTATCCATCCATCCATCCATCCATCCATCCATCCATCTATTTATCTATCTATCCATCCATCCATCCATCCATCCACCCACCATCCATCCATCCACCATCCCACCATCCATCCATTTATCTATCTATCTATCCATCCATCCATCCATCCACCCACCATCCATCCATCCATGCATCCATCCATCCACCCATCCATCCATCCATCCATCCATCCATCCATCCATGCATCCATCCATCCACCCATCCATCCATCCATCCATCTATCTATTTATTTATCTATCTATCTATCCATCCATCCACCATCCCACCATCCACCCACCATCCATCCATCCACCCACCCACCGTATCTATCTATCTATCTATATCTATCTATCTATCTATCTATCTATCTATCTATCTATCTATCTATCTATCTATCTATCTATCTATCTATCTATCTATCTATCTATCTATCTATCTATCTATCTATCTATCTATCTATCTATCTAAATTATTAAATATAAGACAGAATCAGATTCTAGAAATGTAAAAATATCCTGACCTCTCTACGATCTCAAACATGTATTCCTGGTGACAAAAAGTACAATGGAGGTCAGTGTTTGGAGATTCCATGGCAATATTTACTGAGAATACATGCCCTAATGTATAAGATTCAGGGGGATCACCAAGGCGCCACCCACAGTGTCAGTACATTGCAACACACAGAGCAGACTGAAACGCATGATGAATGATCGAGCAGAGAAGCAGAGCAAATCCCGAAGCTATAGTGAAAGACAGTGCTCCTCAATAAAACAAAAAAGTTTTGCCATCTACTGTTTTAGAGCTCAATGTTTCGGAAAAAAAAAAATAAAAAAATTGACATATGCCAACCTAAGTTCAGAGGCGATCAAAGTTTGTACCAATGATGCAACGTGGTGTGTTTACTCAGAGACACCGTCCTTTTGCATTTTCACCAAATGCAAGATAGTGACCTTCTACACAGAATGCGTTCACAGTCTGTCCCTTGTCTATTAATAATTAACTTCAAAATTATCCAGGAGCACACTGTGTCATTTCATTTAAAAAGCAGTACACCGTTTTCTCAAAAGTAAATCTAGTTAATTAGTTTAATCTGGCTTGGCAAAACTAGATAAAATTAAAAGTCAATGCGTATTCATGTAAATTGTGTGATTTAGATTTGGACAGCTGGACAATGCTTTAAGGACTTGATGTTCCAAGAATATGTAGTATTTATCTAGTCATATGAGGATTCTTTGTATTGTCTATTTGTCTCAAAACGTGAGATGACCCATGCTTTCTACTGAAAAAGTGCCATCACTGTTATTGGAATTACTGTGATGATAGTTGTATGTATATTTTATGACCTCAATTAATAAATCTAGCAGTACACACTTGTATTTTTATGATTTATGGGGACTTTCCACAGACATAATTATTTTAATGTACAAACTGTATATTCTGTCACCCTTCACTACCCAAAAAATGTCCCCACAAGGACAAGGATTTCAGATTGCCATCTTTGTGGAGACATTTTGTCCCCATAATGTAGAGTTTACCAGGACACACACACATCAATGTCATTATTTGAAGATGTAGCAGCTTGCTGAAATGATTTTTTGTTTATTTTAAATCATAAAATAAACAAAAGAAACATAGAATGAATCTAGGCCTACTTAATGAAAATGATCAATAAAATGGATAAGTGTTAAGACGACTACAAATGGCAGCAATACCAAACTTTTCAGCCCGTCAATGCCATCTGTAAAGAAATGCTTGAAAATCACATGCGGCGACAAAACACAAATATTTTAATGACAGGCCATTAAACAGAAGGAATACAGTTTCTTACTACTCAACAAGTTCTCCAAACAAGGTAGGCTACATTCAACAAAAATAAAGCCTATATATTCCCAGTAATGGCCCTATAGCCGACGAATTTGAAGGTGTTGCAACTTCTCTTTCTCTTCGGCGACGTTTAGCGGAGTCTGTGAGCACGTCAAACGCACACCGTTTACACATTACACACAGGTCCAAATAAACTCCGTGAATATATTTGCAAATGGTTATCCTTGTTATACGCAAATACGCGCTATATCTGATCTAATTACGATGGCGGTTAGGCACGTGTCACATTGAATAAGAGTTGATGTCTCGCTGATTATTTAAAGCTATTGTTTGATTAAAATAATTTCCTAAGGAATGCTCAGTCTGCAAAAATAGCCAAAATATAAATATATCAAATAAATTGAAACCAAACTGGAACTTTTATGGTTTTGATCATTTATATATTTAATTTTTCAGTAGCCCATGTAATGCATCTCATGAAAGTTCGTGTCTATGGCACGAATGTCATTTCTCGTGGCATTTATACGCCAAAAACAGTTTTTGCGTGTATTTGGCACGCGATTTTCGCGTACATATGATACGCACTTTTTTGCGTATAATACACACGAACTCCCCACCCCCCCTCCCCCTAAACCTAACCCAGGGTTTTTTAGTGCGTACCATATACACGAAAAAAACACTTTTGGCGTATAAATGCCACGAGAAATGACACTCGTGGTATAGATACGCACCTTCATGAGACTGTGTTGAAAAAATCTGTGTTTAATGTAGGCTACACGCTTGCTTTGAGCAGTAATGCATAGGCTAAATATATATTTCGTGACTAACCTATTTGAATGGCACTAACGGACTAAGTGATCTGTTAAACATTAAATAATAGCCTATAATAAGGGGATAAAAAATTAAATAATCCTGAACGTTATTTTAATGTGATAACAACTGAGCGTATAGGCTATTTCTGTGGAAAAATAAATTTGTATACCAAAAGAGGGCGCACTCATATTTTTTTTTAAACCAAATCGCATACCATCAAAGGTCAAAAGAAGGATATAAAATATAGGCTTAAAAGGTTTCTAAGCAGTTAAGTTGTATAAAGTATCAACTGTTATTTCGTTGTCTTCAGCCTGTGCACCGAGCCACCAGCTAGCCTATCGTGGACAGTCAAACAAAGTGAATAAATGTTAGGATACTTTGTTTAATGAAGGCAATCAAATCTTGCCACTGAGCTTTGCAGAATCAACACCGATGACCTGCTCTTACATCAGCAAACTGTGTACCGCTATTAGTTACATAAACTAGAGCGCAGGTAAACAAATTAATTCAAAACAGCCGAAAACATTTACGCGTTTTGATCTATCCCTGTATTGTTTCTCTCATATTTAATCTTATTACAGAATTACAGGCTATATATATTTTTTTAAATAGCTTTCCCTTTTCAACTAGGCTCCTTTTAAAGATTTAACGAACAGTTAAACATTTTATTAAATGGAAAGTTTGGGTTTTAAAAGAAAAATAACTAAATTAATAATAATAATTTGAGATTGATTTGCTTAAATATGTCATGCATTTAACATCGGCTTTGCGTAATGAACGCTGCTTGTGAATTATGAAAAACAAAACAAAACGAAAACAAGATATCTAAGCTTGTTGATGATTCATCTGAATAAAGACTTGAACCCGGAGCTGATGGCGTTCTCCCCAATTTTATCTGGATGTGATTTCAAACCACTCCTCTCACGGTAGTCCAAACTTCCATTCAACCCCTTTCTCCCGCTGGAATACAATAAGATTAGGATATAATGAATCTTTTCAAATGGGGCTGCTCTTTTCAAGCTGCGCAGGTGTACAATAGGGGGGCAAATGGAGAAGTCTCACGCCTAGGTGTGAGCAGATTATTCAAATAGGAGCCGAGTGGAGCAGTAGGGATTGGAGGCTCGCCCGGGCGCACAGAGCTATATCACAGAGCTAAGAGCCAGCAGCGGGCGTCATTTCAACCAGAAACACATACACACACACACATACACACACACACATGCGCCAGCTCTTGACAGGAGGAGAGCACAACGACGACACGAGTGTATCCCGTGGTTGTACCACATTTGGCTGCCAAAGGACACACAATACCAGCATTTTCTCGTGTGGGGAAGCGTTTTGAAAAGTAGAAGGAGTTTTTTCCAGGATGCTCGGTGCTGTCAAAATGGAGGGACATGAACACGCAGCAGACTGGAGCGCTTACTACGGAGAGCCTGAGGTGGGTAACTCACCTAAATAAATATATATGTATTTTTTTTTCTCCTCGTCGAAATCCGATCCGGTTTTATACAACTCAATATTAGCCCTGAGATAATATTAACTTTGAGATCAAATATTGACTTGAGGCGCCTCCAAATCCTCCCCCATCATCTCGACGCCCTGCACTATCCTAACAAAGTTGTGCTTGACATGCAATGCAAACTTTTCATTTCCAATTATGGATACCGACGAATACATGGTTTTTTTTTATTCGACAACATCGGGCGTCCAGAAGCGAAAATAACCGCGGGCGTTTGACTTTTGAACAGATCTAGGCTATTGGTTTTTAATTTCTGAGCGGCGGTAATATCGACTCAACAACAGCGTTTTGCTGCAATATGTTGAAAACCGAAAAATGACCTAAATAAATAAAAGTAAAAAAAAAAAAAAATCCTCCCGAAAACAAACTTTCACTTTATCCTGGCGTATGTTTCTAAATATCTAGCAGTAAGTTTTTAAAACCCCAACTAAGCGAGAGCTTAAATAAAAACAGTTCTTATTTGGCTATGATTAAATAACCTTTAGGGAGCCTTATTATCTTGTAATGTTTATATTTTTATGTTAGCCAAGCCAAATGAATTTTAAACGCATACAACTTGGAGTTACAATTTAATTAATCGCATTTTCTGATTTCTTTCGCAGTGTTATACCTCGGTCAGCAACATGAACACCGGACTGGGAATGAACTCCATGAACACTTACATGACTATGTCTGGAATGAGTTCGACTGCAAACATGACAGCGGCAAACTCCATGAACATGTCCTATGTCAACACGGGTATGAGTCCTTCAATGACAGGCATGTCCCCCGGTGCGGGAGCGATGGCCGGCATGGGTGCGGGTATGACGGGCATGAGTGCAGCCCTGAGCCCGACCATGAGCCCAATGGCAGCGCAAGCACCCTCTATGAACGCCTTAACCTCGTACAGCAACATGAACGCTATGAGTCCCATGTACGGCCAGTCGAACATAAACAGATCGAGGGACCCGAAGACCTACCGGAGGAGCTACACGCACGCCAAGCCACCCTACTCTTACATTTCCCTAATAACCATGGCCATCCAGCAATCCCCCAGTAAGATGCTGACCCTCAGCGAGATCTACCAGTGGATAATGGACCTTTTCCCTTTTTACCGACAGAACCAGCAGCGCTGGCAGAACTCTATCCGCCACTCGCTGTCCTTCAACGACTGCTTCCTGAAAGTCCCACGCTCCCCGGATAAGCCAGGCAAAGGTCGTTCTGGACCCTTCACCCCGACTCCGGGAACATGTTCGAAAACGGCTGCTATCTGAGAAGGCAAAAGCGCTTTAAGTGCGACGTTAAGAAACTTAGCAAGGAGCCCGGTCGGAAAACATCGGAGGGTGGATCGAACAGCAGCTCCGAGAGCTGCAACGGGAACGAGTCTCCTCATTCCAACTCGTCTAGCAACGAGCACAAAAGATCCCTGTCTGACATGAAGTCGGGTCAGGGTCTGAGCCCGGAGCACACAGCCTCCCCGACCTCCCAGGCGCAGCATCTCCTGGCGCAACATCACTCTGTTCTGGCGCATGAAGGACACCTGAAGCCAGAACACCACTATTCCTTCAACCACCCCTTCTCCATCAACAACCTCATGTCCTCGGAGCAACAGCATCACAAAATGGACCTAAAGACATATGAGCAAGTGATGCATTATGGTTACGGCTCTCCGATGGCCGGCGCGTTGTCCATGGGCTCCATGGCCACAAAGGGCATCGCACCATCGGGGTACTGGCCCATCCTGAACTCTGGGACACTCATCCTATACGTGTGTGTTATTGAATCCTGAACTCTTCCTAAACCCGCACGGACCTTGTGACAAATTTGTACATTTGTAAAATGGTTGTGTATATGTATTCCGATTTTTGACGTTTCCCGTTCATTTAGATGTTCATTAGTAATTATTTTGTAAAAGAAATGTTGACAATGTGACGAACTCTTCGAGGCGGCTTTTGAAAATGGACCAAAATCACACCGAAGGACTGCGGACGGATTGAACTTCTTCAATCACTTGTGTAAACTTATTTATGGCTTGTAAATGTGTATTCTTGTAGTTGATGACAAGAACAGAATCTATATTAAAGTGTTATTTGGAATTTTTTCTCAATTCTGATTTCCTCTCTTTTGTGTTATTGTGTTGTCAACAACGACAATAATAATAACGAATGTCATTTTGCTTAACGAATTTATCAATTCATTTGCACATATACGAACCCCTTGTTACTTGTAAAGCTACACGTTTATCGAATCATGCCACAGATAAATTATATAGATCGAATTCATTTGATTGAATTGTTCTTGAATTTCCTGACCTAAATTAATATCAACAATAAAAACACAAACATAGACTATGAAATTAGTTTTTTTTTTTGATAAATGAAATAAGCTGAAATGCGTTTGATTATATATATTTCGAATCATTCATCATATTCAGCATTGAAATACTTAAAGAGCTATTAAAATATGCGTTGCATTTTACGTAAAAGAGCGGCAACACTCTAAACAATGCTGGGTTGTTTGAACCCAAATTTGGGTAAAATATGGACAGACTCAAATGTTGGGTTAAAAATGTAATTTCAAATTTCAACCCTCAACTTTCACTTTCAACTGTACATTTTTTTAATTGCATTTTTAACCCAGCATTTGGGTTTGTCCATATTTGACCCAAATTTGGTTTGAAACGACCAAGCATTTTTTTAGAGTGTAGCATTTGAAATATATTTCCCCCATGACGACAACTGTGTTCATAAACCCATTAAAAAAACAACAACAAAAAACATATGTGCATTCGAAAATTGTTTGCATATAATATAAATATAATATATATAATACATTTTTACATAGTCTGATAAATAAACAATGTCTACTGTTTATTATAGCTATTGTATATTTTATATGCAAATAATTTGCGAAGCTATACGGAACCTCCCTTGTTCCCTTGTCTGTCGTTCTTCAGACGTTACAATAGCCTATATATATATATATATATATATATATATATATGTGTGTGTGTGTGTGTGTGTGTGTGTGTGTGTGTGTGTGTGTGTGTGTGTGTGTAAATCTCTATATCTCTCATATAGTTTAATGGCGGTAATTGTAACAATATAAGATGAGCGTCATTTAACAAAATGAGGCATATATTAGATATAAATAAAACTCTGAAAACTTCTGAAATGAGAAACATTTTCTGTCATGTTTATGAAGTCTCTCGTTTCTTTCCAACATATGAAAAAGACGTGAGACCCATTTGATGTAAATACTGGAAAAACACGCGCTGTTAATTAAAAAAACAGAAAAAAATATATTTGAGTGGAGGGGCATATATTAGACAGGCACAAATAAGCAAGCTGTGTTACAGGCTTTCCCCATTTAATAGTAAACTTGCGGATCGAGAAGTCACCTGTGTGAAACGGATCATCACACGAGTGTCCGTGCGGACAGAATTATCCCTCAACGTGAATAATGTCAAAGAAGGCCTGGTTTCGCTACCTCTGTGTTTTTAGTTCTCAGTCCATTGTATTTCAAACCCCTATGATCTGCGAATAAACACAAACTGGTAAACAATGAAAAAGGCGGTATTAATACATATAGGATGTGTACATGAGCAATCAAATCACACGAGTGTAAACTTTGAATAGAGCACGTCATTTCTAGGTAAATTTACACAGAAATTAAATTTCGGTGCCCCTCGTTTTAGACATAATGCTAGGCTGAATTTTTATAGCGCACTGATCGATATCTTGGTAAAATAATCATTTTTTTTAAACTAGCGGGGCAGTGAAATCTTTGCTTTGTTGCTAAAGTCAACAGTGTCAGAGTTTGAGCTCAAATAAATGCCGTGAGGCTTCCAGCCCTGTGCAGAAGGCAGCGGGAGAGACTCCAGGACAGGTACGAACATTTTCATGATTAAATCCAGCTCGCTTCGGCTGCTGCTGCTGCTGCTGAGGCTTTCCATGCATGCTGTGTGATTCGCGTAATGGGGATTTCTGCTCGCAACTTCGATTTCACGGCAATGGTGTTGGACGCTTGAACAGACACAACTCAAGTGCTAATGTGAAGGGGCTCTTTCAGCCGACTGTCAGATGGCTATTCCAGCTGATTGATGCCAATGATACTGGAGAAGAAATGCATTGGTTTCGCCGTGCCAATAACTGATGCCCATCAAATGGAGTTCAGGTACATGGCAGTGATGTTTTTCCTCCGACAAACTTGCTGTCGGGTCTGGAGATGAACGCGCAGGCAATATGCGACGAAATGATCCGCGCGGATAAATGATTTCTACGCTTTTCTTTTTCTCATTTAACGAAAGTGAAAAGTTCGAACTATTTATTTTTTTTTTCGCCAACCAAGACGCAAACTATGCAGACGAATTTCTGGCGCGTTTACCCCTTTCCAGAGACACAAATGACAGCAGCCATAAACGTGAGGATACCATTTAGCAACACAAGACAAAATAAGTGTTAACATGACAATCTACAGACAGATGAGGGGCCGGTTGCTGAAACTGATATAGTCTTAAAAATTTTTCATCATTTTTGTTTTTCTTTAAGACTGTTCATTACTTTTTTAAGTAGGCTAATTGGACTAATTTGATTCAGAAAAGTAAGACCGATTACCTCTAACTAACTGCTAGTCAGACTAGTTCTTAAGACACAGTCTTAATAGTTATATGCAACTGACAGAGGTTTAATAAAAGACAAAAAAGAATGGTAGCTACTCAATTTGTCTCCATTATGGTTTTGCACAATTCTAACAAAATAATCATCATTATCAACACAACGATAATAATAATAACAATATTATTATTGTTATTATTATTATTATAGCCTTTTGGTGATTATTTAAGACAGGAGGCCTGGAATAAAAAAACTGCTTTGCTTTCAGGGTATATACAACATAAAAGTGAGATCTAAAAAATAGCTATGTCGATTGCTAAGACATATATATATATATATATATATATATATATATATATATATATATATATATATATATATATATATATGTATGTATGTATGTATTTTTAAAAAAACATCGTGGGCATTTTTAAAAAGCTTGTTATTGCAGCGACATCATCTTTTCCCTATAGTGTTTTCCTCTTCTCATTTAGGTAACCCTGTTTAATTGGAGTCGTCCAATTTGCATATCATATACTGCAAATGAAAGCCAGAATGTAAACAACTGATCCTCAAAATTCTCATTAAGAGTATGAAGTTTCTCAAGGAGAGCAATGGGCATCATCACCTAGACTTTTAAAGTGCATCACATACAAACTTTATAATGCAGGCCATTACATCGTACAATAAAATCAACGGATTTGTTTTTTTTTGTTTGTTTTTTTTTTACATTTCTCCATTTTAATACACATATTGTTATATAAACCATATATTTAGTGCTAGCTAATTTTGGAATGGAAACAACAATTAAAATAGATCAAATGAAATAGTTAATTGAAAGAACGTGTATATGGTGGCATTTAAATGAGTACATCGGGTCATCCAATGGTTTTAGCCCGTGTTTTGCTCTATACTCGGTGCTGGAACACCCAAGTGGAGCTGGTCTCCAGGGAGATCTGCGGGACACCCATCTTACAAGCTGTAATGCCGCTTTAACCCATTGCTGGGGAGGGACCGTTCACACTACCCGATTTAAGACCAAATACTCTTAATCCTGCTGCTGTCCCACACTATATTACTGCTCAACACAGACGCCTAATCTACGCCCTAAAGTTAGAAAGGCAGTTTCACGGCAATATGCCGAATAGGATTAGATTAGTCTTTGTAATTGTCTTTAAGGCATTTTAAACGCTGCGCAATGCGATTACACGTACAACTAGTCAAAATGTCCCCCCAAAACAGATTATGAACAAAATAGTTATAAAAAAAACAACAGTCATCACAAAAAAAAAAAAAAATAAAAAAATAAGACTAATAATATATCAAAGTAGGCTAATATTTACATGAATATTTGTGCAAGCCTCCCCCAAAAATGAACCAATATTTTTTCACTTTTGTACATTACATTTAAACTACTTATTCAAAGTTAATAAATAAAATGATATATTCAAATATAACATCATCTGCGTAATATGATAAGCATGAATTGACACGCCATCAAATGTACATTTAAGATTCATTCCACACACACACACGCAAAAAAAAAAAAATCGAATTAATCTATTGCACTCTAATTCACAACATTTCATTGGCTGGAGTTATGCATATTTTCTGACATTTGACGCAGTTTACTTTTTCAAAATTATGTGAGCGGATTTATTTTCTAAATTAAACACTCATGAGCATTTATTGAGCAATTTACTATCATGCAGAGTAGGTCATTAAAGGGATGTGGCATTGTTTTGACATGAATCATCACCAGATGTTTTTTACTTTATGTGTGTGTGTGTGTGTGTGTGTGTGTGTGTGTCACATTGCTTTTAATGTCATGTACATGCCCAACCCTTCAAACTCTGAATAGAAACATTGTCTGTTATTCTGTAGTGTTAAAAGGCTGTATGATATATGGAAGCTGTTGTTAAATGGCCTGCGTGCTGTCAGGGTGTTGTGGTCGGAGAATCTGGAAATAGTGTAACAGAGTGACGGGTCAGGCCTGTGTTCACACACATCCAACAGCTTGGTGTGAAATTCTTACTGAGATGTACAGGCCAAACCACATGTCCATTCAACAAACTTAAGATTCACTGCTCAAACATAAGCATCTTTTAGGGATATGACCTGGATAAATGCCAGAATCCAGCATTATGGCGAAAATAAGTAGGACATTAAATGA